GGCCCCGCGCTGCCCGCCGGCCGGGAGCGGCCGCCCCCCGCCGCCGGCCCGCAGGGGAGCGGCGCGGGGCAGCTCGAGGAGATCAACACCAAGGAGGTGGCACAAAGGATCACGGCGGAGCTGAAGCGCTACAGCATCCCGCAGGCCATCTTCGCCCAGCGAGTGCTCTGCCGCTCCCAGGGGACCCTCTCGGACTTGCTGCGGAACCCCAAGCCTTGGAGTAAACTCAAGTCCGGCCGGGAGACGTTCCGCAGGATGTGGAAGTGGCTGCAGGAGCCGGAGTTCCAGAGGATGTCTGCCCTGCGGCTAGCCGGTAAGTGCACGCCTGTGCCAGGCGGGGAGCGCAGCGCGACCCTCGGGGCGCAGCGCCGGCCGGCCGGCCCCGCAGTGCGTCCTTCTCGGGCCCGGCGCGGCCGCTTCCCGCTCCGCCGTGAACCGCGGGGCTGCGCGGAGCTCAGCCGCCTCCCGCAGCGCAGGCACCGCGGCTCTGTCCGGCGGGGCCGTGCGGGGCTCGGGGCCGGCGGAGGGACGCGCTCCGCTGCCACTGCCGGGCGGCGGGGCCGGGGCTGCTCTCCAGGGCCGGGTGCTGAAGGTGCGCGCTCCGCACCGCACCGCGCTCTCGGTGCGCATCCCTCCTGCGGCTGCCGGGGCTGCGGGGCGCACCGGGGGGGGCTCCGCGTCCCGGGACAGGCGGGGCCGGCGGCAGCGGGCGGGGGCCGGACCCCGCACCGACCCCCGGTACCGATCCCCGGTAACGATCCCGGTACCAACCCTGGCACCGACCCCCGTACCGACCCCGGTACCGACCCCCGGTACCGATCCCCGGTACCGATCCCCGGTAACGATCCCGGTACCACCCCCGGCACCGACCCCCGTACTGACCCCCGTACCGACCCCGGTACCGACCCCCCCGTACCGACCCCGGTGCCGACCCCCGTACCGACCCCCGTACCGACCCCGGTACCGACCCCGGGTACCGACCCCCGGTAACGACGCCGGTACCGACCCCGGTACCGACCCCCCGTACCGAGCCCCGGTACTGACCCCCGCAGCGGAGATGAGCGGGACAGAGCCGGCGGGAGCTGTCCCTGCCGTGAGGCCGTGCGGGGCGCCCCCCGGCCGGTTCCGCGCGGGTGCGGGCCGGGCCCCGCCGTGGAGCACAGCCCGGGCTGCCTTCCCGCTCCCCCGAAACCACGGGGGACTGTGGCACGGCCAGACACGCGTGGGACAAACCGCAGCACGGCGGGGAGGCCAGGGGCCGGGGCGCGCTGCTCTGACAGCGATGAAAACCCTGGGATATTTGTGTCCCCGAGTCTGCCCTTCTTTTATTTCAATTGATCCCGACGAGGGCAGGGATTTCCCAGTGGGCAGGCTGTCCCCAGAGCTGCCCGCCTTGCCGGCACTCCCGGAGGGCTCTGAGGGGGCACGGGGGTCTCTGCGGCAGGGAGATGGGCACACAGAGTTCCCGCATGAAGGGCAGCTGCCGGGAGAGGCTGGCATGCGGCGGAGCAGGGCCAAGAGGAGCCGTGGATGACTGATGGCCCTAATCCCTGGCCGACCTCTAACCAGAGGTCAAACGCGCACGGCCTGGGGTCTCCAGAATCCCCGTGGGGAGTGCTTGGGCTTTCCCGAGCTGCGGGCAGTCCCGGCTGTGCTGCCCTGCGGGACAGGGACGCTGATCCCCTGCTCGGCTCCAAGGCAAACTCTTCTCGTCCCTTGCAGCACCCGCGGGCATCCCGCTCCTCTCTGCTCGCAGCCAAATGAAGGTGCTGGGATCTCTGACAGGGGTGTCAGAGGCACAGAAGGGGTTTGGGGTTTTTGCCGAGCACGCGGTGATGTCGCCTTCACAAACAAACGTGTATCGAGAGGGAAATCGATGCAGATAATGTTTAGAAGATTAAAAGAGCATTAATGCTGGCAACAGGAGCATCAACGCGTGGACCCAGTTTTCATTGATCTGGAACCTGAGCCGGCTCATTTCCAGTAACGTGGCTGGTGTTTTTCCTTCCCAGCACTGGTCCCGGCTGGGGGTTCCCCGTGGAGCCCTGCATGTAGAGCAGAAAATCAGGAATCACAGCCGCATGCAGAGTTCTGCCTGTATAACTCTGGATCTCTGCTTTAGCAGGCCCCCTGAATGCCTCTGCATCCAGGAGGAAAGTTTGGAGAGAGCTCAGGTGCTGAGTGGCCGTGGACTCCCCATGGAGCGGGAAAGACCTTTGCAAATTACCTTTCCCTTCAGGAAATCGATTATTTTAATTTCCTTTTATTACCACGTGTGAATATGCGGCCCCATTGCCTCAGTGCTTCCTTCTCCCCCTTTACTCACTTGCTTAAATCCCTCTGAGCATGGGGAAAATGCCACAAGTATTTCAGGTTTTTAAAAACAAAAAATACCCACCAGCTATTTGCCCCACACTCCTGGAAATTTTTCCCAAGTGGGGTGGAAATCTGCTGTCCTTGAAGGGAAATCCCCCTCTCCCTGTGGGAGCCATGTGGGGTGTGCTTAGTATTTTTTCTTATGATAGAAGATATATAGTGTTGTCTATCCTATTCTAACCTAATCTAATTCAATGTTATTATTTCTGTGCTTATTGTATTTTCGTGGGGGTCTTTAGTAGTCCTGTGGGGGGGGGCGCTGCTGGGGGGGCTCTGTGCAGGTAGGATCTGCTACTCACAGGGAGTTTGTGGGTGCTCCGAGGGCAGAGCGCCCTTTTGGGGTGCTGGGGGCTCTGTGCGGGCAGGACCCGCTGTGCACGGGGGGTTTGTGGGTGCTCGAGGGCAGAGCGCCCTTTTGGGGTGCCCGTGCCCGTGTCTGGCCGCGGCTGCAGCCGGGGAAGCGGCGAGTGCCCTCCCGGGCCCCAGAGGGGCTGGTGCCGCTTCCCGCCGGGCGCTCGGGGCTCGGGGCTGCGCTCGGGACCGGGGGCTCGGGGCGCTCGGGGCTCGGGGCTGCGCTCGGGACCGGGGGCTCGGGGCGCTCGGGGCTCGGGGCTCCGGGCGCTGCCGGCTGCCCTGGAAGGTTTGGGGAAAGCCCCGACGGACAGTCCCTAAATTTGTGCGGGGTCAGCAGAGCGCTCCGCCGCCTGTTCACCCTCTGCGGTGCCGGATCCCTTATGGATGACTGAACGCTCTCGTACCAAAAGGCCGTCAGCGGTTCACTGGTGCCGAGCTGGCCGAGCCCTGCTCTGACCCGTCAGCACCACGGAGAGCGGCGGAGAGGGGCGGAACAGGGAAGGAGCAGGAGCAGCAGCCAGCCGAGGCCGCGGGGCGGGCGGTGGCCGCGGACCCTGCCAGCCCGGGCCCGGCCAGCCGTGGGTGGCAGTGCCAGGAGTGGGCGGTGGCACGGTCGCACCCCAAGTGCCCCAGGACAAGGAGAGGGGTCTCACAGAGTGTGCTCTTTGTGCCCTACCAAATGGCTCTTCCCTGGATTTTGAGACTGTTTTGTTGTCTGTATCCCCAGCTAAAAATGAAGGCATGATAACGTCTGTATCAGGCTCGTTACCTATTTATAAAGCTATTTCTTAGCGTTGAACTAAATATACAGGTATGTAAAGGTCCTTTGAAAGGTGCTTAGGGGCTTGAAATATCGGTGCTCTCTTCAGCTATAGATTAGTGGTTGTGTTTGAACAATCCATGCGGTAAATTGTGGTGCTGGCTGATAAATCATATTTCTCATGTACCAACTTTCCAAAATAATCCCCTGCCCCAGCTCTTTGTTCCACATCATTTCTGGAGGCGTTTCTGCCACACGGAAATCTGAATCCTGTTTTTGCAAAGCAAATGAGTTTTATCGGTTTCTTGATTATTTGATGAAGTTAATTCTGAGTACATTTTGGATTAAATGAATTTCTGTATTTTCTCCCCTACTTTTTAAAAGAAACAATTAATTGGTCATCGTGTTACTCATTCTGAAGCTGTTCTTCACTATTTCCTTATCAGATTCCCCCCCTCCTTTTTTTCCCATGTATCTCTTGCCCATCACTGTTTGAACTGAAATATCCCAAACTCAAGTATTCCTCTCCAGCTGAAAATTGCCCCCAATTTATTAATCGCCGCAATTTATTAATTTATTTGTATTTAAGGCTCCCATCTTGTCTTCTCTGGAAAAAGCCCATCGTAGCTGGGCGATGAATATGCAGGGAAAGCACTATATCCAATGGGACAGATAATACATCTCTTTTTCCAAGGTAAAAGATTTTGTATCCAGCTCTATCAATCTTGCAGACTTTTACATAAAAGGCTCTCTGATTTATAGAGGGGTTTGCACACAGAAATCATACCAAACAGACTCATCTCAAATGGATTTGGTGATAGCATCAGCCAGACAACTCGCTGATGGCAGAGAGAAATGCAATCAAAAAAGAAATTGGAGTGTTTTGGGCTTGTTTGGGGGTTTTGAGCTATAAAATCAAACTGCTCCGTTGTGAAAAAAGGGACTCAAACCACTGGTAAATGCTGCTCAGAGGAATTATTAGACAAGCGATAGAGGCTGGCAGGTTCCCAAAACGCAAATTGTCTCCGAGACCAAAATATCTCTCAGTAAGCAGGGAACATATTTATGAGCAGCGGTGATTTTCCAGCAGCTCTCATCCCCTCCTAATGGGGTGGGAGCACGGGGCCTGTGCCGAGGCATTAAGCTTTGGCAAGCAGCACTGGCTGCAGGAGGTGAAGGAGGAGCAGAGGTCTTCCTCGGAGGGCTTCCCACACACCTTCCTCTCCTCCATGGTGAGAGGGAAAAATCAGGTGGGGTTCCAAGAGAGCACCTTCCTGGCTGGAAACAGCCAGGCTGTCAGCTCCTTTCTCAGAGCATCGCAGGAATCCCTGCAAACAGGGAGCACCTCCCCATTACAATGGCTGAGCAAGCAGGCCTTCTCTGGAAGAACAGAATTTACTTTGTGCTACGCATCCAATCTGTTTTTCTGGATAAATGCCACCAAGGGCATTCCTGGCGTTGCAGGAATTAGGAGTTCGGTGTGTGTGCCGCAGCTGGGATGAGCAGCACTGGCTGCCCACCCCGACAATGTGATTATTTGCATCTTCATTCTGATTGCTCCTTGTTCCATAATGATTTTGTACACAGCGGAGTACTTAACCTAATTTGTATTGATCTCAATCGCTCTCATTCGTGCATACTTAATTCAGAGAGGTAATCAAATTGATTTCTGAGGCCTAGTTTTTGAAAGATTGTAGTAACAGGGATATACAGGGGGTTGCTTTAAGTGAATCAGAGCAAAAGGAAAACATGTGAAATCTTTAGAAAATGTTTTGATGGTCATTTCATTGTGTTCTGGATTACCAGGGTAATTGCATTTCCCTCACAAAATCGAATGGAGGAGCAGTTTCAGTTCCATCAGCCGGATAACTGGGTTTGGGTGACTTTGCACCCACACAAACCACACGGGCAGATCAATATTCACCGCTTGTCCTAGGGACAGTGGAGACTGAGGACATTCTGCTGCATTAAGGGAACGTTGCTCTCTGCTTGGCTCCTTCTTAGCCCTGCTCTTTGTTTCGTGGCTGCAGAGTCACTTCTGCTGTTATTAGAACATCCAGGGGCAGAGAGGCACAGGAGCTGTGTTGGTGATGTTCCCAGCATCCCGGCACGTGGCTCCGCTTCTCCCGGGGCTGCTCCAGCCCCTGGGGCCCCTCCCGGGCCTCTTCCTCCTTCTGATGCTGGTGACCTTCGTGTCCTCATCTCTGCCTCCCTCCTGGAGAGGTGCAGGAGCTGAGGGAGGCTTGGAGCGTCCCTGCCCCGTGCCTGAGGGCTCACAGGGTGGGACTGAGCTGAGCACGACAGCTTCCGGACATTTTCAGGGTTTGTGGCTGTTTGGAATGCCTGGGTTCCTCTCTTGTGGGGGAGAAAATGGAAAATCAGAGTCATTGTTGCAGAAAGTCAGGCAAATGAACTATTAGTAGGGAAATTGAGTGTGATGATACTCAGGGTGTCACAGTGCAGCGTTGGGTCCCTGCACCCTGCCCTTTGAGTCGTGGGGCACCACTTCAGTCCATGCTACAGGAGGCAGCACTCACCCCAGTTCTGAGCAGTTCCTGTACTCTTTCTATTGAAGAGCATCTTTAATGCAATGCAGAAGGAAAATATTTTATTTTATATTTTTGTGTATCTTTTTTTTCCACAATTATGGCTTTCAGTTCTTGCTGGTTGTCCATTTTCTTCCATAGGATATGTTCAGGTTTAACCACAGCTAATAAATCAAATTGTGCTTAGAATCCAGATGGTCTCTTCCCTTCCCTGTGCTGTTAAAACCTTTCTCTTTCTTCCCGGAAAATCACTTGATTTTATTAGAGTGCTCACCCCATTTTTCTCTGCTGAGAGCTGCACGTCAGGTGCAGCCTTTGCCTTTGTGGGGCCTTTTCAAGAGCAAACTCAACAGTTCAAGGAAAGTATTTACTGAATGCATCAAAAAGCACATACCTCTGCATTATTTATCATCAGATACCAATAACTGTAAAACGCAGAGTATCTCAGGACATAAATTAGTGATGGTAGGAAACACTCCACTGGTCCCAGTGTCCCGGAACCGATTAGAAGCTGCAGCAAAGATGCTGCTGCTCATCATGTGCCCAGCACCAGGGACATTGCCATGTGGATTCTGGACACGTGTCCAAGTGAACCCAGCTTAACATCTGCTTTTTCAGCCCAGACAGGCAGCTGGGTGTTGTCTGCAGTGGCAGAGGTGCAGTCAGAGAGCCCAGATCCTTCCCTCCTGCTGCCTCTGGGATAATGGCCTCGGAGAGGTGAGTCTGGCCACTGGGGCCAGGTGCAGGCTCACCCTGACCAGCTTCTCTTGTGCTTTGGGGTGCTTTGAGGTCTGACCTTCACCTCCCTCCCAGGGGCAGCTCGGCTGCAGCCACTGGAATTTGGCAGCTCAGAGGGTCAGGGTCAGGCACGCCAAGAAAATACCCCAGTTTCCTGCAGAAATGCTGTGAGATTCTGTGCCACGGTGGCTGAGCCAGGCTCCACACAGGTACAGCCCTGACTGGGTTAATTACAGACATCTCCACAGTCTGACTTTTACTTTTGGGCCAGCTTCATTTCACATTCCAGACCTGCGGAATTATTTAACAGGGCTGCTTAAAACCCGCCTGCTTATCAATTCTCTGGGCTCATTTTGTCCCAGCACATTACCTAACCATGTCAACATATGGATTTTCTCTCTGTGCCCGGTGCAGACGGCCTGGGCAGGCTATTTTTAAGTGTGGGTGTGCTCCGGCAGTGGTATTGGTTTCAGCACTTGCTGTTCTCTCTCTGCTAATAAATACAGAGCAGCTATTAATACGAATGGGTTTAGGATCCATTAGCATGGCTCAGTGATGCTCCAGCACTGCTGCCCTGCGTGACCTGAGCTCTGACGGCTGGCTTCACCCTCGGGACATGGCCCGGGAAGGGGGACAGGCGATGGGGGCGGTGCCCGGGGTGGTGGCACTGCCGGAGTCAGGCAGCAGGGCAGGGCCAGGTGAGCCTGGGAGGCCAAGGAGGCCCACGGTGCTTTTTCCCCTTGGTGCTCACACAAAGTTGCTGCTGCTGGAGCTTTGACTGGGGTTTGCTTTGGGCTGTTTAAAGGGACAAAACTTACATACAGCTGTTACTCCTGGCTGTTGAGAGGTACTGGGGATAGAAAAGCAATGTGGCCCACTGGATTCCTCTGGAGCCCTCTGCTCCCGTGTGCCAGAGTGGTGCTGGCTCAGCTGGTGACACTTGCCCGCACCGTGTGACAGTGCCTGCCATCGGGGTGGCTGGTGGGGGCTGTGGGCACCACCCTGACACTTTCTCTCTGTCTCTGCCGCCCCCTCCCAGCCTGCAAACGCAAAGAGCAAGAGCCCAACAAAGAGCGGAACAACTCCCAGAAGAAATCCCGCCTGGTTTTCACGGACCTCCAGCGCCGAACGCTTTTCGCCATCTTCAAGGAGAACAAGCGTCCCTCCAAAGAAATGCAGATCACCATCTCCCAGCAGCTGGGCCTGGAGCTCACCACCGTCAGCAACTTCTTCATGAACGCCCGCCGGCGCAGCCTGGAGAAGTGGCAGGACGACCTGAGCTCCGGGGGCTCCTCGTCGGCCCCCAGCAGCTGCACCAAGGCGTGAGGGGCGCAGAGCGCGGCTCCGCGGCACGGCCCTCGCTGGAGACTAAAGCACAATCCCCGCAGCCAAGCCCAGCCAGCCGGTCCCCAGGACGTTCCTACGGCTTCCCGGCAGTTTAGCAGGCTCCACGTCACCCTCTCTCCACACAATCCTTTGCTCAGGACAGGCGAGGCAGGTCTGAAACGCAGGGAGTCGTTCTTGAGGCAGGTTTCTCCTGAGCCCCGGGTTCCCGTGCTCGGCAGCCTCCCGTGCCCGGTGCCTGCCGTGTGCTGGCCACACCACCCTGCGGCCACGCCACAACGGAGCACAGAGTCGGATACTGACAACCCAAGACCCTGTTTTTAAACTCAGGCATGGTTTTTTGTTACGTGTTTTAAGGGAAAAAAAATCAGATTCAGGGTTTTTTTGGTTGTTTCTCTAGTTTAGTTGAATCAGCTCGTTCTCGGATCAGAAAAGTGCGGTTCTCTTGAGCTCGAAGTATCAAGCACAAGGCTGGTAGCTGCAGCCACGTCCGGCCCTGGGCTGCCAGGGCGGCTGTGCCAGCTGCAGCCTGACAGCCCGGGAACACCGCACGAGCCTCAAGCACAGCTGGCAGTTCCTCACAAGCTCTGTGTTTGTACCTAATGCACACTCAGGAGGCCGATGGAACTGCTACAGTTCATGGAGCAAACACAATGTTTTGGATGACTTCGATTAATTTGCATTATTACATCCTTTTTAGTTTCTGGGAATCTGGTTTCTCCTCGGCAACGGCTGTTACCAAAACCTTTTTAGCGTTCAGTGCATTTTTGTTCCTTTTATCAGTATTTTATGGTACTTTCAAGCAGGAAAAGAAACAGAGACAAGCCCTTCAGCGTTTCAGATGTGCCGCGTGTAGCTCTACCGCATCCCCAAGTTCCTTTTCCCTGCCGGCTCCCCGGGCCGGCAGGAACACAGCACACCAAAGAGACAGGATTTCTGCAAGCCAAAGATGTTTGTACCTTGCCATTCTCCTCGCGGGTGCTTGGCTGGCGCTGGGGGCTGGCCAGCCCCCTCTGAGCTCCGCGCAGCGGGGCCGCCCCGGCGGCGGCACGGCCGCGGCCGCGCTCCGCCACAGACACTTGAGACTTTTTATATGTACTGCTTAATCGAAACCAAAGAAACGTTTTCTGCACCTACTTCTTCTGCAACAAACTGTTCCATTGAAAGATAAAATAGAAAAATTTAAAAAAACCAAGGAAGCATGTCAGGAAGCAAACGAGTCCCACACTGTGTTCTACGAACATCTCGGACGTTTTCGGAAGCAGATCTCAAAGAAAGGGTTGACAAGAATGAGAACAAAGCAAAGCCAGTACAATTGCTGCTTCATTTGACAACTCAAGTCCTCTTAAAGTTGAAGATTGTCTTTAATTTGTGCCTATGCAGTTTTTTCAAAAGAACAAGGAACAGAGCAACCAAAACCTCAACAGCTACCATACCAAAGATGAGGATTCTCACTACTTGTGTTTCAGTTTGTTTCTCCTCTTGCACGACTAATGCACATAACCCCACTGATCTCTGGACAGGTAACCACTCGTGAGTCTTGGTGCAGCCAGAAGGGTGGGTTCCTTTGTGTTTTCCCTGTTTCTGCCCCACACAGCATCTCCCTGGGAGCTGCACGGGCTCCGAGTGCAGGGTGTTGGGGTGCTGCCCTGCTGCATCTCCTCCCTCCAGGAAGCACTTGTGGGCTGGCTGTGACCTGTGTGCTGGTCTCCTGTGTGTCTGGAGCTGTGAGAGCCACCCTCCTGTACGTGACCTCCACCCCTCTTTCTCCTCCCCGGGGTGAAACTTGCAATATGTGTGATCCCCTCTCTGTCACTGTGAGTGCTGAGCAGCACCACAGCCCGGCTCCAAACCTCCACCTGAACCAAGCCCGAGTATTCAGCAGCTCCTGGGGCAGCTCAGGAGTGCTTCTGACATATTAGCCTGTAATGCTGTTTGACCCAGGTCATGGTGATCCAGATCATGACATGTCCAATTTATCCCCAGAGCCGGAGTGTGTTTGCTCCTCTCTGCCTTCAAACAAGGGCTTCACTTCAACTGCTTCACAGAACTGCTGCAGTCACTTTCCAATGGCTGCACTTAAAATAGAAAAAAATCCAGAAGCCATGTCTGCTCAGGACAGGAAAGCAAATTCAGGATCCCCATAGCTAAACTGAAAGCACGTGCCTGCTCTGGGGATCAGAGGGTCCTTTGGCAGATTCCAAAGAGATTTGGAGAATCCTTGTAGCCAGACATGAAACAAACTTGCAAAAAATATGGTCCCAATCTCTCCTGATGTGTCCTGAGGGCTCTTCACCCCAGTGCCAGATGTTTGAGTGCAGAGTTTGGAGCCAGCAGGCTGTGGAGCAGGCTCAGCTGAAGTTTCACTGTCATTCCCACCCAAGTGTCCATCAGACCAGCCCTGGTGCATCTTGAACTCGGCAGTGCCCTCAGGGGAGCTGTCTCATCCTGGAATTGTCCCCCTGCAGTGGCAGGGGGTGGCACAGGAGCAGTGAAACCCCAGAGCTCCCTCCTGCAGTGAGAGGGCAGGGAAGTGCACTGTGTCCCACAGGGAACGAGCCCAGGCGTGTGGGACACCTCACCTGGGGACACCCACCTGGGGACACCCACATGGCCACAGCTCTGCCTCCCACCTCCCCAGAGGCAGGGGGAGCTGCCAGAAGCCTGGGAGCAAAGGTCTGGCCTTTTTGCCCTGCTCAGAGCTCCTCCAACAGCCCCAGCAAAGGGAGCTTGGATCAGGCACTGAGTTACAAATTTCAATGAAATTCTCCCCAAGCTGTGGCAGTGCAGCATTCCAGAGTAACAACACAAACGAGGCTGCTCTGGGCTGGGGCCTCCAAGCTACCAAGAGTCCCAATCCATTCTCAGCCCAAGATCCTGCTGCGTTCTTCATCCCCGCATCTCTCCCGGCCCCCGTGACGTCTTCCATTTCACTGGTGGCTTTTATGGGCAGCTCCCTGAGAGGAGGGGCTGTGTGAGTGTTGGGGAGGCTGTGCTTGCTGTCGCAGCTCCTGGTGAGTGCCCAGAGCCGTGTGTGTCACCTGCTTTATTTACTGTGCTGCCAAAGACTCGTGTGTGCAGAGCATCCCAGCACAGCAGCCCGGAGCCACAGCCTGGGCACAGCGGCATGAATTCGGCTTCGGAACCTCGCCGGGGGATGTGCTCAGTGACTTCCCGTGGATTCCCGAGGGTGCCTCTGCCTACAGCCGAGCCCAAAGAGCCGCGGGAGCCCGCGGGAGGGCAGCGGGGCTGTCCGGAGGAGCCGCCTCGGACGCGGCTTCCCTGCTGCCCGCGGCTGCCGAGCGTTTGTCCGGCACGGGGAAGCTTTCTACTTGGCCTCCTTTATATGTATCATGGGGAGTTTTTATTGGTTACGTTTTTTAAGAAGGCAAAGCTTGAAATGGTTTTAGGTTTTTTTTCCAGACACCTGTGGGTTTTAACTCGCTATATTATCTATCAATAATGTAATTTATTTAATTTAGTCTTAGGGCAGGTCCTGAGATCTCTGTTCAGCCTGGATCCCATTGTGTTTCGCTTTAGCTTTTGAATTCAGTGGGAGTTTTGCCTGAATGTAGAGGGGGGTCAGGCGCTGCTGGTAGCTATTTGTATCTATTTAATTCAGCCATTTGGGAGTAAGTTTGCTTATTTCTCCGTGGGACTGCATCGGGGATGCAGAGCCTGTTAGTAAATACACCTCAGAGCTGGGACTGCTGCGTAGAGCAGCCAGCTTCTGTCAGACAGGGCAAGAACTACTCTTTCCACAAAACAGAAGTCTAGTTTTAATTCCTTCTTTTAATTCATTTTAATTGTTTAAATTATTTAAGTTAATCTCTTCCCTCCTGATTAGAAAGTGTGACATAGCTTTATTATGGCACGTGAAGCCTTCATAATATAACTTATTTATTTAACTTATTCATCGTCACCCGGGGATGCCCTTGTAGAGTTTTTATTTTTTAATTAGAGTTATCTATAAAGCACTACAGCTGGTTTCCTGTAAGAACAGCAGAGCGAACTTTGAGGACAAGCAATGAATATTTAACCTAAAACTGTGCGTCCAGAAAAATAGGAAACAAAAAAAAAAAGACACTGGGGTACTTTGCCTGAACTTTGTGGCTTCTTAAAACTTAAGCTGGGGGGAAAATAACCCATGCCAAGCAAAAAGAGAGAAACCCTTAAAGTAGCTGCTTCCAAGAATGAACTTCTGTGTGTGGAAAAAAAAAAAAAAAAAAAAAGGGAAAAAAAAAAAAAGAAAAAAAAAGAAAAAATTAAAAAAAAAAGAAAAAAGAAAAAACCCCAGAAAAAACCTTTCTATTTCTAGTGAGAACCAAAGAGGCTACCTCACTGACTTTTCCATTTGTAATTTTCTCGTGTGGATGATACCAAAGATACCAAAGATGTCCCGCTCGGCGCGGTCTGCCTCCTGCCCGTGCTCCCGATGCCCCGCTGCTCCTGCCGTGCCCCTGCCGTGCTGCGGGTCCCTCGGGCGCTCCGCAGCAGCAATTAGCACCGCTAATTGTCCTTGTTCTCGCGCTGAGCGGGCCCGTGCACAGCCAGGGCTGCTGCCTCTGCTCACCTTCGCTTGTGTTTACAATTACCGTTTTCAGATAAAAATCAATTAATTACTTTTCTCGAGTTAGCAATGAAGTGAGGCTGCATTAAGCTCCATTAGCATCATTCCTGAGTGATTACTTGCAAGCTGCTTGTTCGGGCAATTAGCGGTGCCCTTTGGCACCGGGGCTTGGAGCGGGCTCTGTGCTGTCTGAGGGGCTGAAGCAATGCTCCGAGGGGCACTGCCCAGCCCTGGGCACTGCCCTGAGCCCTGGGCACTGCCCTGAGCCCAGCCCTGGGCACTGCCCTGAGCCCTGGGCACTGCCCCGAGCCCTGGGACTGCCCTGGGCACTGCCCTGAGCCCTGGGCACTGCCCCGAGCCCAGCCCTGGGCACTGCCCGAGCCCTGGGCACTGCCCCGAGCCCTGGGCACTGCCCTGAGCCCTGGGCACTGCCCTGAGCCCTGGGCACTGCCCCGAGCCCTGGGCACTGCCCTGAGCCCTGGGCACTGCCCTGAGCCCAGCCCTGGGCACTGCCCTGAGCCCTGGGCACTGCCCTGGGCACTGCCCCGAGCCCTGGGCACTGCCCCGAGCCCTGGGACTGCCCTGAGCCCAGCCCTGGGACTGCCCCGAGCCCTGGGCACTGCCCTGAGCCCTGGGCACTGCTCACTGCCCTGAGCCCAGCCCTGGGCACTGCTCCAAACCCTGGGCACTGCCCTGAGCCCCAAGCCCAGCCCTGGGCACTGCCCTGAGCCCCAAGCCCAGCCCTGGGCACTGCCCTGAGCCCAGCCCTGGGCACTGCCCCCAGCCTGGGCACTGCCCTGAGCCCCAAGCCCAGCCCGGGCACTGCCCTGAGCCCCAAGCCCAGCCCGGGCACTGCCCTGAGCCCCAAGCCCAGCCCGGGCACTGCCCTGAGCCCCAAGCCCAGCCCGGGCACTGCCCTGAGCCCCAAGCCCAGCCCAAACCCAAGATCCCCTTCCCGGGGGGATGTGCCTGGGCCGTGCCCTTGCCTTCCCGGAGGTCACCCACACAAACGCTCCGCTGCGATTGAGTGCTGCCTTTTATTTGTTTCTTTGGGGCTTTGAGTCTGTGTTGGTAGGACTTGCCAAGTGTGCTTCTCCCTGTCTCTGTGTTCCCTCACTACAAAGCTATAATAATTCTCAGGATGCCTTCTGGCGGGGTGGCCGCTGTCCCCTGCCCCCGGACACAGACAGCCCCCAGAGCTGGCAGGGTCCCCGCGGCCCCCCGACCCCTGCTTCACTTGCAAAGAGTGACGTTACCACGGGACGAGTGCCTTGCTTGAACCAAAGCAACGATTTTGCCAGTCTAGACCTCTCTGTGCTTTTTTTTTATTCTTCCTGTGAATACCTCAGCTTTGACTGGGCCGCCGAATCGTACCTGGTGGGCTTTTGTACTGTGGTGCTTTGCAATGCAGCCCTGCAAAGGACAGACTCCTGATGATACCAAAGGCTCTCCTCCTCCTCCTCCCCCTGTCCCCGATCTCTCTTCCTCCATGGTTCCAAAGCTTTATGACGAACTGGGCATGTTGGCAACGCAGACCGTGCAATCCCTCCCCGAATTTTCTCAGATATACCTCATAGAGAATAGCTGTTTAGCGTAATGTTATTATAGCGTATGTAAGAAATTATTCACTGTTTCTTTTGGGTAACTGTGATTTAAAAGGAAAAAAACAAAAAAACAGAAGAAGAAGCTTTATATGTTTTAGGTTGTGCTTTTGTACTAGACGGAGAAGGTGCGCTTAAAAATGTACGTCAGTCTTTCTTCCCATTGGGGTTTTTTGTTATTATGGATGGGGGAAAAGTTGCAGAATGAGCCCAAAGTTTACAGTTTCATATTTTGCTGAAGAAACAATCTGTGTTCATTTGCTCTGTTGGAGAAAAAAAAAAAAAAAGAAAAAAAAGAGGAAAGTCCTTATTTTCTACATTTGTGCTACTTGGTCTGAAGAGCTGATTGTCCTGTGTGACGGTGTAGTATTATAATTATAATTATAATTAGCAACTGCCAATCAGCGCTCCCATGTTTATGCATGAGGCAAACCCTTAGCAATGTGATGCATCGTGGTTCTTAATGGCAACTTCTTCCTTTGGGTTTGGGACAGGTCTTTGGCTTGGTGGTGTTTATTTATGCATGGAGCCTGTTAGCTGTTCGCACTCGTGTTTGCATTTACGCTGGGAAATGCCGGCCGGTCCCGCCCCACGCAGCTCAGCTCTGCCCAGGGCGGCTGTCCCGCTCAGCTCTGGGCTGTGCCTGTGTCACACAGACCCAAATTCCAGTGACATTGCCATCTGAGGAGAAGCTGGGCCCCCTGGCATTGGATTCCTTCCGTTCCCTGCTCCTCGGAGGCTGCCGTGCTCCTTCCCAGGATCAGGAGCTCCTTTGGCTTTATGGCAGCCCCCCCTGCCCTGGGCCAGGTTTGTTGGGGTGCTTTATCTATCCCCTTTTGGTTTGTCCACATGTGAGCCCCTGTTCACGGATGGGTTTGTTTTCTTCAGAGCCCCGCGTGCCCCGATCCCAGGCCGTGCTGGACGTAAAGCCAAACCC